AAATATAATTTATATATTTAAATATGATATTTATTTATATAATATTTATTATTAATTTTAATTATATATAATAAACATATCTATATATTGCACAAAATAAAATACTATGAAAATTTTAATAGAGTCAAATAAAATTATTAATTGAAGGTTACAATCAGGATTAACTATACTTTTCTATTACTGATTTTGTGGTCCATGTGTGTTTTTTTTTTTTTTTCAATACTAATTTTAAGGTCCATATAGTTAGGAATCATCATAATGTTGATTGTATTCATTGATAGGTTGATTGACAGGTTCACGTGTTTTAAACTTTTAATCCTCATATTGGATTCATTTTCTGTTACCTGCTTATATATTTTTATATATTTTTTTGTTGAACGTTTAGTTCCTTACTTAAAAAAAAAAAAAAATATATATATATATATATATATTGAAAAAATTTTTTTTAATAAAAGCTTTGTTATTCGACACAATGAGTCGAATTTTAATAAAGAGTTTCATAATATAAAGTTAAAAAAAAAGTCATCATGGATAATAACTTTTTATTATTTATTTATTTGCTCACTTATTTTAATTATTCACATATAGTTTCCGTTTTTTTGGAACATTATCGCTTTAATATTAATATATTATAGTATTTATATTTTAATAATTAATATTTATTAAATTTTTCTTTCAAATTTAATTTTATTACTTAATATATTTATTTAATTCTAATTATTTATTCAAAATCTTTAAAAACTTAATATGCAGATTATAAAAATTAAAAAACTAATGTCGTGTATAACACGTCTTTTAATTATCAAGTCATGTTTATACACCATTTTTGTATTTTAAAAAATATTATGTATAAATCGTAAAAGCATAAATCATTCAGAATTTTAAACAATAAATAATAATAATATTGTCTGTTTTTATTTTAGAGAAATTTAATTAAATGATGTAAATATCATTTAAATATATTTTTAATCATTTAAATTTAAGATAATTTTTTAAATTTTTTAAATTTAAAATTAATATTTTTAATTTCAGTAATTTTTAAAATTTTTGTTCTAATTTTTATATTTAAATTTTATTAAAAATTTTATCAAATATTAACACATAAAATAAAAATATCACATTAAACATAACTAATATTATATAATTATCTTAAAATATAACTTCTAAAATAAATTTTTTAATAATTATAGAATTAAAATAATAATCTTAAATTTTAAAAATTAAAAATAAATTTATCTTAAATTTAAGAGATTAAATTTATAAATTTTTATACAATTTTATCTCTTGTATTTTTGGAAAATTTTATAAAGACTTAAATATGTTTTTAGTCTTTTAAATTTAAGGTAAATCTATTTTTGGTCTCTCAAATTTAAAATTATTATTTTTAGTCCTTGTAATTTTAAAAAATCTTATTTTAATCTTTATATTCAAATTTTGTTAAGAAATTTATCAAACATTATTGCATAAAATCTACTTATTAGTATCTCTATTAGTAAAAATATCACATTAAATCCAGTTGATATTGTATTACTGTCTTAATAAGTCACTTTCAAATATATTATTGGTGACCTAAGGGACTAAAATAAAATTTTTAAAAATTACAGAGACTAAAAATAACAATTTTAAATTTGAGAGACCAAAAATAAATTTATCTTAAATTTGAGGGACTAAAAACATCTTTAAAACTTTTATAGACTTACTCGTTTTTTAAATTTTGAGAAAAAAATTGCCTCATTTAGAAAGAAAGAAAAAAAAAAAATCTTTGACGTGCCAAAATTCTTGCGTCTGATTTAAGTCTCCAACGTGCACAAAATCTCCACATCATTGATACCAATAATAACTCAAAACAATATATATATATATATATATATATATATATATATATAAAATAAAAAATTGCACAATTCAAGTAGAGATACTCACAATTTAAGGGCTTTGGTTTCAACACTTTGCTTCTCTTTCGTCTTGTGCTGATCCCAACGGAGGCGTGAACCCTGATTACACTTCTCTTTTTTACGTGGTGGTTTTGACCCCATTGCTCATTCTCTCCAATTCAAGGCTAAAGGTAAACTATCCATCAAGCTAATTTCGCTTTAAATTCAAGGTAGACGTACAAAGGCCCAAACTTGGTCAACTGGGGTGCTGCTTTTTCATTTGGGTACATCCATCAATGTTGAAATTTTGATGGGTCTCTGTTTTTTTTTTTGTTGGAATGTCAATGCCTGTTTCATGTGGATTGTGGTTGATCACTGCCATGCATCATGTTAATCCCGGTTTTTGTTACAATTTATTTTTTTTAAAAGAATTTTCTGTTATGCTGTTGATTAATTGTGCTCATGAGTGCTGTACATTGGTTATTTTGTGATATTAGGTCAAGAAAGGTATGATGAGAGAAAGTGCTAAGGGCAAGTGTGGATCTTCTTCTCTTCAATCCATGAAGGAGAAGGAAAAACACTTGGTGGATAAAATTCAAGGGATTTTCAACAACATTCAGTGTGCAAGAAAGGAGAGCAGGGGTAATGATATTGTGATCTTTGAGGAGCAGATGCATCAGTTGCTCCGCGAGTGGAAAGCGGAACTGGAGTCTCCAGCCACTTCCTTAGCTGTATGGTTTTTAATTTTTAGTTACAGTCTGTTTAGATGCAAGCTGAATAGAACTTTTGAGAGCTTCTCCATTTTTCAGTAAAGAAGCTCGCAAAAGCTCTGCAAAGCTTGGATCCCAACAGGCTCGTAGTTGATTGTAATATCCGTGCCTTCTTTGTTTATCTCATTGAAGATTTGGATGTTTGTTGTAATATATGCTGGCATTGGCACTCTATAGGATGGAAGCTTTGATTCCTTTACCAGCGAACTTGCTCAACTGTTGCAAGTGATTGAAGAGAAAGATGATGCAACTAGTCCATTAACAAAACTTGGGCCATTGAAGACTGAGCTCCCTACAAATAATATTAGCGACAACAATTTTCAGTTTTTTCAGGAGGTAAGTTTCTTGCACTGGTGTGCCGGGGAGTCTTTTTTTATATTTGTGGTTTGTTGCCTGGCCCGGTCCACAGAACTTTGCCTGTATTATTTTCATTTGTTGTGCTTCTTGTTTGTAAGCTTTTGATATAATTTTTTACTGTTAAAGATGAAAATATGATATATAGTATGTAATTGTTAACCTATTAATGTTTTTGCTAAATGACACCAACCACATGGAAAAAATTGTGAGGCCAGGTTATCAGGTGGAGCTTCCTTTTGCTGTGTATGAATTTTAGAGTATTAAATTCAAAGGATGATATGTTTTAACTCCTGATTTATTTATATCCTACCAACACTGGACATGATTCATTACTTTTATCAAAAGCATTAACTTAGTATAGTTTGAGTGTTTTTTCTTGGTGGTTGATGGTATCATGTTAAACAAAGAATATCAACCAGAAGTTTGTAAATTATAAAGTATAGCATAAGGGAAGACTACTGATGCCAGTCAGCCAGTGTGGTGTGTGATCTTTTAGTTTGTCGTGTTGGCTAATCATTTTTAACCTTTTTGTTTATTTGGGGATTGAACATGTTCCAACACCATACCCCTACCCAAATTGTATCACTTGAGTTATGCCCAAGTCATCTGGTTACTTGATGTGAGTTGTTGAAAATTTTAGGCCAACCATGCATCCTTGTTCTAATTTTCCTTTCCAGGTTGATTCCAACTTGATAAAATTAATTGGTTGAGGAAAAATTGCGAAAATGGTACTCTTTAGAACATATCTATTAGGGAATAATTAACCACTTAACTTGTTCAGAGCAGTGTTCTTAGATAGCTGCTATAGCGCTTTTGCATTGCATAACTTCTTGGATTCGCGATTGAATTGTGACTCTGTTCATTATTGGGGCCATTCTGGATGTCATGGTTGTGGCATGTATCCTGCATCCTCTTGTAATTTCTAACAGGTCTACATCCTATTGAACAGTGAGTTAATATTATGTTAATATTTATGCATTTTATTTTATTTGCTTGCAACTTCTCTTTTTGTAGATATATAATTGATACATATCATATATTTCAACCGCAATGTGATTTCCGCAATTTGGCTAGAATGCTGTCCGCTATATGATATGGCAGATTATTAGCTTTCTGCCATTTTCTGTGATTTGCATTTGATAACACTGGTTCAGTGTTGTTAATATTAATATACATCCAGTTGTTGACTTGATTGAACACACATGAGTGGTTTATTGTTCCCAAAACACATAATTTTACAATGATTTACTTTTCTGAAGAAAAAAGATCTTAACCACTGCACAATGCATGAAGAAATAGAATATGTATTAGCAGAAAGTTTTAACCTCTTTAATCATATATTTTTGCTGCACTGATTAATCTTTTATTTCTTCAATTTTTATTAAAGAGATAACAATTGCCATTTGGTATCTTGCAGAAGCATTTTGATGATAACCAACCACTAGATCATACTTTTGAAGGCTCTGGTTCAGCTCTCTTCAACAATGCTTTTAATAACTCAGACATGGCCCAGTTGGATTATCATCCATTCAGTTTACATCAAGATATGAATGACAACCCAGTAGGTCACCACTCTGATTCGATTGGTCAGCTGGATTTATATCAGGGCCTCAGTCACAACACAGAAATGAAAAACTCAGAATCAACTCAATTTACTTTAGAAGGTTTTGATTGTAGCCAGTTCTTTGGAGCTGATGACACTGTGCAGCATGGAGAGAATGTTATACCCAACATTCTTCCTAATATCTGCCCTCCAGCTTCTGCTTTTTTAGCCCCAAAATGTGCCTTATGGGACTGTTTCAGACCTGCTAAAGGGGTAGAATGGTGCCAGAACTACTGTAGTAGTTGCCATGAGCTTTTGGCAAATAACGAGGGTCTTCCTGGCATGACTCCAATTTTACGACCTGGGGGCATTGGCGTAAAAGATGGTCCTTTGTTTGCTGCTGTTCTTGCTAAGACACAGGGTAAGGAAGTTGGCATCCCTAGTTGTGAAGGCGCTGCTTCAACTAAGTCTCCCTGGAATGCTCCAGGTGAGTACACAAGGAGTTTATTACTTTTGTGGTATCTTGCTAAAGCTTCGCATGTTCTAGCAACAAGCTTGTCTATTGATTGTGTTGTAGAAGAAATTGTTCTATCCGTGCTTGTCACTGTTCATCTTTTGTTGTTTTGGTTTTAATTGTTAGCTTTTTTCTGTTGCAGAGTTCTTTGATCTTTCTTTTCTCGAGGGTGAAACTGTTAGGGAGTGGCTCTTCTTTGACAAGCCTAGAAGGGCGTTTGAAAGTGGAAATAGAAAACAAAGATCACTTCCGGACTACAGTGGACGTGGTTGGCATGAATCAAGGAAGCAGGTGATGAAGGAACATGGGGGGCAAAAGAGGTCCTATTACATGGATCCCCAGCCTCTTAGTTATCTTGAGTGGCACTTGTATGAGTACGAGATCAACAACCATGACGGTTGTGCATTATACAGACTAGAACTAAAGCTTGTGGATAAAAAGAAAAGTCCTAAAGGAAAAGTGACCAGGGAATCTCTTACTGATTTACAGAACAAAATGGGACAGCTTACTGCTGCTGTTGTATCACCAGATGATGGACAACCAGTCAAGGGAAAAACTAAGGCCGAGTTTGAAAATGATGGGTCTCCTGAAAAGTAAATTAACACTCCGTTGGGTCAATTTTACCGTATGACTGACCAACTTGTACATATTTGAGAATGGATCATAGCATGTGGAAGTTTCTGACTTTCCTTAAACAAGGTAAAATGCTAATAGAATTTTCTTGTGGTAGAAGGTGCTCATAGTCTTGTGCGAATTTATCGTTATTCTACTTTTGGATATTGGCATTATTTGAAGTCTACTCATAAGAAACAGAGTAAAAGTTAGATCTTTTCTGTCAGCATACTTACTGATGGATCAGTGGGAGGTTCCTTTGTTGGCTATCACCGAAATTTCTAGCATATTCTTAAAATTTAGCAGCGTTTATTTTATTGTACATGTTTTCTAATGGTGGCATTAGTTTTAACTTGTATTACTAGTACAACTGCTGCAATTCCATGGAAAATGCAAAATACAATTTCTGAAAAAATAGATATAATATGCATGCACTTTGCCTTCTGTTGAATGAGACATCACTATTAGTTTTTAATGCATGTATGGTTTTAAGTTTGTAATTTTCCAAACCATGGTTTGGGCAAAAGCTTGTCCAAGTGCACTTTACATGCAACTCCTGTGGAATTACTATTTTGAAGGACAACGTGGTCACTGAGAGAATGATCTTTATATTTTCTTTGTCTGTCTGTTTTGCCCATTTTTCTTTCTCTCTATTATTGACCTTTGCCCTTTTATTTGTCTTCGTTATTGTGAATCACAAATCAACTATCCAAAAACACCAGTGCATGTTTACAACCTCATTAGGGGAGCATGCTTAGATAAATAATCCTACTTCCTCAATTTCAAGTTGATTGGCCTTTTAACATTCAATTTTTTTTTTCTTCATATTGATTAACCTTAAAAAAAATACTATTTCGTGGATTAATTATTTTTCTTTATCTGTATGAAAAAATCTTACATGTCTATCAATATGAAATGGAGGTAGGATAATATTATTGTTCATACATAAGCAAACGTGAATAGAATGACTATTTGAGTTTGTATTCTTTTTGGTACAAGTTGACTAATGCTTAGTCTTTATATGGCTTGGTCATCCTTACGAACAGAGGTTTGTGTGGCACTGACATGTTAATATGAGTATTCAGATGAGATGTTAATTTTTCTGCAAAAAAGTAGTCTAATTATTTATAGAAAAGTTGTGTCTTGGTATAACTTTTTAATATTTTGCAAACAATTAATTGAAAAAGTAATGTGTTTAATATTCAAAAACAAATAATGTATTAAATAACTTTTTTAGTTAGCGAGTAGGAATATTAATAAAAATAAAATTACGTTGAAGGATTTAGAAATTTTCAATTACTTAAGAAAGATTATTTTTATTAATCAGCTGCTGTGGAGTTTTTCTCTATATATTTTATGAAGGATTTAGTAGCAAGTGGACATCTTACGAAAAATTTCTCTTAAAATATAGAATTTTAAATTCTTAAAAAAAAAGTTAAGAATTATTTAATCTCTCTTCTCCTATCTTTTACATTTTCTTTTGCCTCTTCTCTCTTCCATCTCTCATACCCTATTTTCTATTTGTCTCCCCTCCTCCCCCTCTCTCTCTCTTTTTTTTTTCTTCCTTCCTTAGGCTAGTCATCCTCATGTCTCAAACTCATATAAATATAACTCATCTTAAGCAATAAAGGTGGTAAGAGGGAGAAAAGATAAGAAAAGAATGTGAAAAAGAAGCAATAAGATGTGTGTCACAATCGTGACTCACCAGTCACAATCGTGACTCACCAGTCACAATCGTGACTCTAGTCACACTCATGATGCATTAATTACAGTTGTGACCTGCTAGTCACACTTGTGACTGGATCGATATTTCTAAAAAGGTTCTAGGACAAAACATATCACACTCGTGACTTTTCAATCACACCTGTGATACAATCCAACAGATACGAACTTTGATTATTTGGGCCTTGTGTCTCATCTCATCACCATATTTCACCATAAGTGACCACCCAATTAATATAATTAAAGATTAAAAGTCTAAAATCACTCTATTAAGCCATCAATTTTTCAAGTCTAATATTAATTTCATATTTTCACATGTTTATCTCAATTATCCCATATTAGTTCAATATGTTCATTCCTTAGGGTTCCCACAAGAACCCGTGAGCAATCCAAGATACACGAGATTAATAAATTACAAACAATTAAATATACATATATTGGCAACATCAATTAGAATATCGAAGAATCATATAGGAAGTAGAAACACAAATTAGGAAGTAGAAACACAAATTAAGTCTAAGTTTAAGATTTCACCTTCATACACCGCATTCAACAAAAAAGAGAATGATGTCAATCCCATTACCTAACATATATCTCACACCTAGAGCAAGATTACTTACTATCCCTTACCTTGATGAACACTATAGACGAATATAAATCTTCGAGGTAATCGTCTTCATGATCTCCAGATAGTTCTTCAAAGTATGGAAATGTAAGAAAGAAAAAGTGAGAAGTGTAAAATATAAAACTGATGTAGCTCTTTTGAAAACTTCCTAACTCATGTTTAATCTTTAGTTAGTCTAATAATCATGATTATGCTTCCCTTCCTTTAAAACATTTAAAACTTATAAATAATATATAAAATAAACATGTTTCTCCCAAAATAATTATAAATAAAATAACACTTTTTTTTTCTTCCAAATATTTATTATAACAAAATATCATAAAAATATATATTTCTCCAATAAATACTATACAAAACAATTTTGCAAACACTTATTATTTAATTAAAACACTCATAATAACTAAAAGTATCTAAAATATTTTATAAAAATAATTTAATTTATTAAAACTTTTTTTAATAATTTAGAAAATTTGGGGTGTTATAGTTTGAATTTAAAAGGTTGAATATTTTTTTTGAAAAAAAGTTATTGAACTATGTAGTTTTAAGCAGAAAAAATATGTAAGAGACTATTCTATACCTTTTATATATATATATATATACATATATATATATATATATATATATATATTGTTTTACAAGTAATAAGAAATGTTTGAATCTTAAAAGGTTGAAAGTTTTTTTTTTTTTAAAAGTGTGCTCAAATTATATAGTTTTGAGTAAGAAATTAAAATATCTAAGAAACTATTTTACCTTTAATAATTAATAATATATAAATATAGATATAAAATAACATATTCGTATTGTGACAACTATTTTTAATAAAATTGTGAGACAGGTACAAAAATTTTATTAGTAAATTTTTTAATTCTTTATTATCATTGAACGGAGATAAAAATAACCATTATTTCATTATTATATTTATTTAAGAAATTAATCATAATAATTATCCCATACATCGTTTCTAAATTTTAATTTGAATGTATAATTAAATTAAAATAATTGTCATTTAACTATTACATGCATTTAATATATTAATTACATTACTTATAATATTTCAGTTTTTCTATGAAAAAGATTATTATGTACTGAATTGATGTAATTCAATTAATTAACTGCTAATTAATTTATTTTACAATCAATAAGAAACATTTGAATTTTCAAAGGTAGAAAAGTGAAAGAAAAAGAAAAGTGAACCCAAAATATACATTTTTGAGTGGAAAAAAAATCTAGAATATTATTATAGAGACACGGGTTAAATAAATTTTTAATTCCTTAACATTTTATTAAGAATTCATTTTTTAATTTTTTTTAAAATATTTTGTTATTTATTAATCCTCCATTAATTTTCTATCATATAAATTAGTTATTTAGATTAAATTTCTTATTTTAAATGATGACTCATATAATTACAACAAAAATTATTATATAATTATATATCTATTAAGTAATCATGTGAAATGAACCATAATTTAACCTTTTATTTTCCTGGCTATTCATTCATTTCTCTTCACATCATCCACGATATCATTGTCCACATTTATCATCATGCCTCTAAATGATGGGATTGGCTGTGGCTCATTTAGAGAAAAAAAAAAAAAAAAAACATAATCATATTTTATATTTTATATTTTTATCTTTTAAATTCTACTTTTAACTTTCTACTCTATTCTTTCTTAAATCCTAATTTTTCATTCAATCTTCATTATTTTCTACATTCAATATAAGGTACAAATTAATATATTAAATTACATTCTATATTTATAATTTTTTTAAACTTATTTAAAATTACTTATAGACAACAAGAATATATAATTAACCTACTTCGATCGTAGACGGTGGTGGCGGACGACGGGATAAAGAAACACGTAAGTTAAATTTGTCATATTTAAGGAAAATAAGATTCGAAATGCTAATTTTAGCATTCTGGAAAGTACTTTCCAGAATAGTAAAATTATTGTTCCGGAAAGCATTCTTTGAAAGTGTATTTCTTATATAATTTCGGAAAGAACTTTCCGAAACAGTAACTTTAGTATTCTGAAAAGTACTTTTCAAAAAATGTAACAAAACATTTCTGAAAAATATTATCCGAAATAAGAATTTACTATTATGAAAGTATTTTCTGAAACAAAAATTTTATTATTCTCTAGCTGCTGCTTCAACGCCAAATCCTCATCGGACTGCACAAATTACCACAATCGAATTTCATTTTGTTGCAAGATAAAGCTGAGTAGAAATTAGCGGTCTAGAACGAGAGAAAAATTGAAGGGAGGCTTTTGGACTCACCAGATCTTCGTTCTCGACCTTCTTCTTGGCAACGGCGTCGTCTTTGGCGGCGCTGGTACCGGAGCGATTAGGATCGGGCGCCATCGAAGAAATTGGAAACCCTAAAAGCGAGAAGTGGAAAGGGATTGAACTACGACGGAATAGAAAAGAAAATCTCGCGAGTAGAGTGTGGTTAGTCTCAGAAAACGTAAATGAAGGACGTTGTTGGGACTTTGGAACATATCACAGAAAGGTTTCTTGCTGCTGAGGATTTTCTCACTTTATCTTTTGGGCTTTGGCCCAACTAAGAAACTCTTTTCGTCTTCTCACCAGCGTTTTTTTTTCTCATGATATATACATCTCCTATCTTTTATAAATATACCTCCTATTTTTTTTTAAATAATTTTTAAAATATCCTTTTAACTAAATTTTTATTTTAAGTTTTATTTTTAAATTTATTTTATATTCATCCTTTCTTTTATTATTTTTTTTTTCTTTTTTCTCTTTCTTTTTCTCATTCTCCTTTTTTATCACTTTAGTCATTCTTTGATAATTTTATTCTTTTTCATTTTTTATTCTTTATTTTTTCTTTTACAATCAACATAATCATATTTTATATTTTATATTTTTATCTTTTAAATTCTACTTTTAACTTTCTACTCTATTCTTTCTTAAATCCTAATTTTTCATTCAATCTTCATTATTTTCTACATTCAATATAAGGTACAAATTAATATATTAAATTACATTCTATATTTATAATTTTTTTAAACTTATTTAAAATTACTTATAGACAACAAGAATATATAATTAACCTACTTCGATCGTAGACGGTGGTGGCG